ATTTTCGCCCGTGTACCTGGCCAAGTCGCAGAATTAGGGGATCCACTGCGCCATACGCTGCTTGATGAGCCACGCATACCTCGTCTCTTCGACAGTTCCAGATGGACGTGCTCTCGGCTGCACTACGCGCCTTCGCTTCTACGTTTACCCATGATGTGATTCCAATCTTGAAGCCAAGACACGCATACTTTCGACGTTCTCATACAATGCAATGATTCTATCAAGTGATATCCATTCGTGATTATTTTTCGGTGACAGCTGCAGGTCCTGGTCTGAAGCGGGCATAATAGTCCTTCGTCCTTGCTTCATGGATGACCATGAAGTTTTCTGAAAGCTCTCCGAGGCATTTCGCTGCGAGACTAGGCTGAAGTCAGGTCGCGTTGCGTCTTTTGCCTCGAGCTTCGCAAGCTGGACGATTGCCTAGGGGACTCACCTGGACTGCCACCCCACACTGTACCGCTAATGACAACTTGTCCTGGAGCCAGAACGCTGTTGTCCAGTATCCTCACACCGTCCTTGATCACTGCGAACTTGCCGATGATCACATTGCGACCGATGTCCACGCAGCTGCCCACCACTGCCGCTTCCAAAATGCTGCCCGCTCCAATGATGACGTGGTCTCCAATCTTGATAGGGTAGTACGAGAAGGCTCTGGGCGTTTAGTATGAGAAGGGGAAGCTGCCTGATGAGCCAGCAGAAGTGAACGAGCTTTGGAATTTGCGCGCCCAGCTCACCCTTTGTATGCTTTGTATGGCGGCCTAATGATGCACCCTTCGCCGAGAATTGAATGCCTACCTATACTGACGACAATTTGCGAACCTTTTTGCGCTGCCCTTTGTTGAGCCTCGGTGGCATCAGCGGCCAAAGGAGGCATAGCCGAAGCGGCTTTCTTCAAATCTCCCCGGACTATGACGTGATGATGAATAACACATTTACCGCCCAGGATGATGTTTGAACTGCCCATGATGTGACACTTTCGAGACACCCGATTGCCCGTCATGTTGGTTTGAATGTATTGCGCGGGATCATAAGGCTGGATGGACAGGTTGGGTGCCAGATTGGAGTGCGGCTGAGGCGCCATCTTTGGCAGGTTTGCTCTCGGATGCACAACGCAAGGTGGATTGATTGAGCAAGGCCGATGCTAGACGTCAATAGGGCTGCTGCTTCTATAGCCTCGTCTGAAAGTTGTTCTATGGCGCGACGCAACTGCAATGAGTTGAAGCTGGATGATCACCTTACTGGGCCCTCTGGCGCACGCAGATTGTTGGCATCGAAGGGCATGCCTGCGGAAGGCTCCACTTTTCACTTTCACCTTCTGACACGATTTGCCGCTCTGTTCGGCCTCTTGTCCGTAAGAGACTTTCGAGATGTCACCAAGCTTACGAATTCGAGCTGCTCCTTCCTCCGGGTGTCCAAGCCACGGACGGGTGGGTGTTGGTTGCGGAAGGTCAAGCCGTGAGTCGTGAGTTGTGCTGCTCGGCATGCAGGCAGGCTCAATCTGGGGACGCGTTCTGCGTAGGTCCCCGCCCTGCGCACGCGTTGCTTCACTCGTGACTTTGTGGCCAGCAAGGCCCGTGCAGACAGCTAACCAGCTGCTCCACGTGATCAGTTGCATGCGACTACTACGCACCTACTCAACTCCTGAACTGGGTTCCTTCCCGCCAAGCCTCTTGCAGTAAGTCTCGAGTTCTTTCAACATTCAAGATTCACGATTTACGAGAGCTACATATACTGCACCATCCTCAATGACCTACTCCTCAGCAAGATCTTGTCTCTCTTTATGGCAAGCATCAACTCTCACGACGACTGAACACGCCCTCTGACACCTGGGCTTGTGCGCCGTCTTGAGTCTCATGTGCATGCTACAGTAGACAGGTGACTGCTCACGCAGAA